ATTAATTAATTAATGAAACGATTTTACTCGGCAGATGGGAATTCATCAACAGAAAGAAAAACAATAATTGGTTTTGATAATGAACGTTATTTGCAAGTCATGACAGAAAAAAAAAATCTATCTCTGCCCATCTATGTACTGGTCAACATTAGAGATGCTCTCTTAGTACATCAGAAAATTTATCGATCTAGGAAGAGCTGAATAATGAAAAAAGCGAAAGGGAACTAAACAATATCACATGACTTCAGTTAAGTACGACACTGGTGATGCGCGTGCCTTAATGGAGTTTATTGTTACAAGTGATTGGTGGGTTACGACGGCCTTGTTCTGCCTTCATAAAAGAAATGAAACATGCCCTGACTGACTTGTGCTATAAAAATGGTTCACTTTATTAATTGTTCATCTTTTTATATATGTCATCTTGCCATAGAAAATAGAACACAACATTATCAAACATTAGTCACTGTTCTTTGTTATTAAAACACTTTAACAATGAAATATTTGTTAAAGTTAACAATGGAGTAAAACTTCTGTTAGAAACAAGATATTTACTTCGCTATTTCTTGATCTTCTGTTCAGCCATAACATTTACTAGTACTATAACGATGCTTGAAAATCTTTATAATTAAGATTATTGGGACGTCATGTCATCATAATTTTCAAATTTATAAATATTGTCTATTGTTTTTTACTAGAATCACATTCGGGTTTATTTCTTAACTCAATGGGACGAATTGTTGTATGCTAATAAACATGTTCATTTCAGGATATATATTAACTCGTACATCTTTTTTTTTTGTGTTATCATCGTCTCTATTTTCCAATGGCTTTGATTTATGCACACTATGTATGCAATCAGTATATAAATATTTTGCCAATATCAACAAAAGTTAAAACGTGTGTTAATAATTTCTCAAACAATTCATTAATATTTTTTTGTAACATTGAGAAAAGTGTTCCAAACACTTCTCTTAAACTATCAAATTAGACCGAAACCTTTAGGTGAATTCTATATACTATTTGTTATTCCTTTTAAATTGGATATTTCTGCATTACATCCATTATTTTATTAATATGTTTAATTTGGATATGTCTGTATTATAGTCACTATTTTGTTATTCTGTTTCATTTGGGTGTGTCTATATTATAATCACTGTTTTATTACCTGAATAGTCAAATATGTTGGCTTCATGCCTAAAAAGGGGTGTAATTATCTACTACAATATTTCAGATTTTTGAATTAATTATTTAAGTTATTAATCAAAATTCCAGGTTTACCTCTCAGTAGAACAACGAAACTGATTCTATAAAAATCTTGTCACTTTCACATAGAACTACAGTTCTATTAATTATTAAATGTACTCGGATGCTGATTGCTTGAATTAAGGGTTGCTGGTCACAGGTGTGCACTAGAATTTTAAAAAAAGAATGTTTATTCTTGTAGTTTTTGTTTCATCACATTGTTACTAAAGTTCAGCAGTTATAGAACTGTTGAAGTCGTATTTCCTAGAAAGTAACTGTACCATTCACGTTTAATCGGATTGAAGTACTATCTACTGTAAGGTTCATTATGTGTCATCAGAATATATAAAAAATACCAGACCACACATTTTTCTTTGCAAATGAATCATAGCATGAATAAAATGAATAACTTCCATAACGAAATATTATTCAAAAGATACCAAGAAAATAAAGTTAATACAGTTAATTTCAATAGGGAGTTAATGTCCAGAAATTACGTATTTTTATACCAAACTTAGCCTTGTAAATGAAAAAAAGGTTTAGATATTTACGTCACATGTTGAAGAATTTGTAATGCACCGTTAAAATATCACTTAATAAAGTAATTATTTCAATAATCGTAATATGTTATTTCACCTATAAATCACCATTGGAAACCGAAAAATAATATAATAGATATACAAAGAGACCAACAGATGGCTTTATACGTCCCCTGGTGAGTCAGGAGTAAGTTTCTGGTCTTACAATTCTAAAATCCAGGGTTCGATTCCCAACAGTGGATAGAACACATATTGCCCAATGTGTAGGTTTTCACTTAAAAACAGCGGATTTATACTTGAACTTAGTATACAGTACAAAAGTTGTGGTGAAAGAGAATTAAATATGTGTCCATGGGATTTTTACTTTCAAAGGATAAGCTATCTTGCTTGTGGCTCGGGATCGAAGTGTTCGCTTACATCAGATCAGAGTAAGGTCGGTGAAACATCGATCTTGAGCTAATCCGACCAAGATAAACTCTCCGTTAAAAGTAAGCAATAAACCAGCTGGTGCTTAACAAAAACATTAAGAGGACCTCTCCAACGTGTAATTATACGAGATCAAAACACATAAACTTAATGAGCCTAGCATTTACATGATTAAAAGAAGCAGAGACGGATTTAATCAAAACGAAATGGATCCTGTTGACATTTTTAATTGACACTGTTTTTAATCACATTCAAGAATATGTTAAGTACAATGTTTCTGATTTATTTTACTTGACGTAATCTGATTACCAATAAGAAACGAGCTCAGGTTTTATTAGGTAGAAGATACTTCATAACTAAATACAGTCTTCTTAATGAACTTACAAATACTGTTGTAGATAAAAAAAAAGTGCTGAAAACCAGGGATTTAACTGGACAATATATTTACGATGTTCAATTTATTGTCAGCGACGACTGTATCATTGTCAGTTTAATTGTATGACTCTGCACGCGTCTGATATGGAACAAGGTACGAATACATTGTCAAGGCTATGTAAATCTATGTACCATTAATGTGATGTTATATTGTGTTTATAAAGGTTATAATTGTTTTTCATGTACTGTCTTTTTGTATTAATAGTTTACTTGAAAATGCTGTTAGCCAGTGGTCTGTCTAAACATTTTTTGGTTTTGGTTTTTCAAACAGGCCATCTGTAGCCTTGGCGCCGACTGTACAATGACAGCCAACAGAAGAAGCACTGAAAAAGCCTCAGAAATTATCATAGAGGTGCAGGAAGGCGACTGGTTAAAGTAAGTACTCTAAAATGAATAACGGACAACATTACCGTCATACAACTGAAACAATCTGATGTTAGATATTTACTGCAACAAAAGCATGAACATTTACTCGCTTTCTGCCTGTGTTCTAGTCTATTTCCCAATCACGAAACAAATCTTAACTTGAAAGCATGACAAGAAAGCTTCTTCTCACAAATCAAACAGCCTAAAGCCACACAGAGGGTTAAAACTCGTCTCCTTTACCCTGACTGTTTTTCACACTCCTTTATTTAAATAAATAATAATTCTTTCAACGAAAAAACATTATTTAAGAGTACACTGTTCCCAATGACAAAATATGTTTTTATTGTTTAATAGTACGACATTCTCAACGACAAAATAAGTTTTTATTGCTTAATATTATGATGTTCACAACGACAAAATACGTTTTATTGTTAATAGTACGATACTCCCAACGACAAAATAAGTTTTGATGTTTAACAGTACGATACTCCCAACGACAAAATAAGTTTTTATTGTTTAACAGTACTATATTCCTAACAACAAAATACGGTTTTATAGTTAATAGTACGATATTCCTAACGACAAAATAAGTTTTGATGTTTAACAGTACGATACTCTCAACAACAAAATAAATTTTTATTGTTTAATGGTACGATATACCCAACAACAAAATAGGTTTTTATTGTTAATAGTACGATATTCCTAACGACAAAATAAGTTTTGATGTTTAACAGTACGATACTCCCAACGACAAAATAAGTTTTTATTGTTTAATGGTACGATATACCCAACAAAAAATAGGTTTTTATTATTAATAATACGATATTCCCAATGACAAAGTAAGTTTTTATTGTTTAATAGGGCGATATTCCCAACGACAAAATAAGTTTTTATTGTTTAATAGTATGATATTACTAACGACAAAATGAGTTTATATTTTTTAATGGTACGATATTACCAACGATAAAACACGTTTTTCTTGTTTAAGAGTACGATATTCTAAACAGCAGAAACGTTTTCTACTATAAAATGACTATTTTCTCTTAAAAACGCAATCAACTTAAATATCAATTTCAATATTATGTAATAGCTATTTCCTTAACAACGGAACAAGTTTCTACTATGTGCTAACTCTTTCCCTTAACAACAGCACCAATTTCTAGTGCGTAATAGTGCGATCTTTAATGACAAAACTACTTTATAAAATGTAAAGAGTTATTTTAACGATTAAAGCACCTTCTAGTATCGAATAACGCGTTCTTCTGAATGATTGGAAAGTTTATTTTGCAATTTACACAAGAAAGCAATGTAAACAATTTATTCTGTAGTTTATACGATGAAAATATGTTCTGTAGTTTATTCTACTGAGAAATGTAGATAGTAGTTTTATACAATTCACGAAACAAATAACCACAAACATATTCTATTTTTTTTCATTACACTCTAAAATATAAATACTATTCTATCAACATTTCACACTGCAAACAATGTAGACGATAATGTATTTTACCATTCACAAAACAAACAATCTAAACAATGGTTTTATTCAAGAGTTCACAAAGCAAACAATGTAAACGGAGTTCACAAAGTAAAGCGTTTAGCCAATAATGTATCCCGCACTTCATAAGGCAAACAATATTGAACGAAGTTTTGCTCTACAGCTCATGTAACACGAAGTCTTTTTTATCAAGCTCTTTATTCTACTGTGCATACAATAAGAATGAGTGAAAAACACTGATTCACTTATAGTTTACACAAGTTATTATTTAGTTTACAATATGTGAGTTGAAGAAACTAGTAATAATTTATCAAACCAAAATATAGACATAATATAATTTGTAGTTCACCCATTTTATCTTATTGTTTATATGTTAAACAAATGTAAACTGTGCTTTTCAGCTCACTGATATGGACTAAATTATTTCTAATTGGTAGTTTTAGAATTCAAACAGTTATGGTATATATATATATATATATATATGGACACTATATTTTTTAGTAAATTGAAAATAAAGTTCAACTAATAGACTCAATAGACTCAAATATGAAGTGGTCAACAAAATAGGACCATCCATTGTCGTTTGTCAATCTTGTTTTCAAAACTGAACTGGTCAACATAATAGGACCATCCGTTGTCGTTTGTCAATCTTGTTTTCAAAATTGAGCTGGTCAACAAAATAGGACCATCCATTGTCGTTGTCAATCTTGTTTTCAAAACTGAGCTGGTCAACAAAATAGGACCATCCATTGTCGTTGTCAATCTTGTTTTCAAAACTAAGCTGTTCAACAAAATAGGACCATCCATTGTCGTTTGTCAATCTTGTTTTCAAAATTTAGCGGGTCAACAAAATAGGACCATCCATTGTCGTTGTCAATCTTGTTTTCAAAACTGAGCTGGTCAACAAAATAGGACCATCCATTGTCGTTGTCCATTTTGTTTTCAAAGCTAAGCTGGTCAGCAAAGTAGGACCATCCATTGTTGTTTGTCAATCTTGTTTTCAAAACTTAGCTGGTCGTTGTCCATCTTGTTTTTTCTCTCTAATGTACCGTGATCAGCTAGGAATGTTTTTTGACTAGCATCATAATACCAAACTAAGGTGAACATAAAAATTTATGTTTCTTCGAAATATTCCACTTTTATTTTTTTTATACTTTTCTTCCTATTTGTATGTGATTGTAGTATCTTGTTAGAAGGATGATTAAATACAAACCGAACAGTCTAACAGAACTTTCTACATTGAGACTTGTGCAGGTTGTATATCATAGCTTTCATTCTCCGCAATTGTGTGTGTATGATAAATCTTCACTGTACAGAATAAAGACAGTAATGAAGGTTATACCACAAGGACAGTAGCGTGCAATTCTTAGATTTGTTTTTCAAATTTGTACTTAAAATTCCATGAATTGTTCAACATTTGATAACGTGTTGGAAGTTTTGTTTAAAAAAAAAGCAAGATTCCCATAATGTAATTTGAAACTGTTTTCCAGGAGCGAGTAATTCTGTTTTAATGAATTGCTCTTCAAATGTGTTTGACATTTTTTGAAAGGACATCACTGTACGTGCTTTTTCACGCGTAAACACTATGTGCACATACCACGTGCGACTGAGAAACTTTTTCTCAGACCGACACTAAGTTTAGGAGAAAAATCTAGTCTAACAATAAAATATCAAATCACAAAGATTTTTAAGGCACCAGTAGGACAACCGTTCGTTAGAAAATAAATGCAAAAATAAAGTAAACGTAACATAATATCGCAAAGATAACACGTTACAAATTGTTTGAATTCTTCACAAGTGAAATCCATTGATGGAAATAAAAACAAAACTAAACATAACGATATTTACGACAGGACTTTGTCCTCGTATGTTATATGTACATCACTTTTTGCATAAGTTATCAGTATCAAAATATCTTTTTAACTACTCTTATTCCAAAACACTACTTTTTGGAAAGAAGGGGCATTCTCTGTTGTGAAAAAGTGAACTTACTTATACAGACTTATTGGCATAAACAGATAGGAACTATTGTAGAGGAAAGCAGTTGAAACACGTTTACTGATAGAAGTATGTTACAGCAACAGTGTAAACTTGTAGTAAAAACTACAATCCAGTCTAAAAGAAAAGTACTGTATTTCAAGATTAAATAAAGTTTAAAGAGCAATACATATCCACTTCCACTTAAAAAATGACATATTGAACTTGATTTGAACTACAAACTACATATCCCAGTGTGATTTAAAAGAGTATTTCAGAATAAAGTTTGTTTAATCGGGGGGGGGGGGGGGAGTTCATGACACATTGAATAAAAGATGTCTGTCTTTTTATACAATCATTTATTGCTATTGCTGTTAAGTTGATTGACATAGTAACGTGTATATCGTAGCGGGCAAATTACTCCAAATGTGGAACAGATATAAAGCATATATATATATACATATGTCAGTCATGAAGCACATGCTCTGCGTGGGCGTCGCTGGGGGTAGAGTCGTCAGGTATGAACGACTCCTCCCTTTGAACTTCAGCTGCATTTTGGTTATATTTAGTGTTATAAAAACTGCCAAACGTGACGATATAATTTTATATTCATAACCTCTTTCGTTTGCTAATGTGTTTCTTTAATGTGATATGAATCTTGCAATGGGCCATGTACAGGACTACTACTGACTCACGGCTTACTTAATTGTCTACATGCGATATTAATTTCAGAAATAATCCTTCTCCTTCTAAATAGTTTCTGACTACCCCCAAGATTACGTTATAGATTTTCTACTTGGAACAAAAACGAAAAACTTAATAAATTCTACGTTATATAAGAACTTCTGACGCTACAGTTCTTATAAAATATTATGTGAAATATTGAGTCGACCCTTCCTTCGTTCATTCACAACAAGCTCTTTGATAGTCTCATTAGAAATATATAAAATAAAACTTTATATGTAAAGTGAACAAAAGGATAGGAGCAAATTTTCATACAGGACAGTAATCCAGTCTCTATCTACAACAGGTTGAGTGCGTTATTTTAAAACGATTTAAATATATAAATCACTAAGTCAAGTGACAAACCGAATGAAGTTAAGGTGGAAAGGCTTGTATTAAAACTATATTTTTACATTGTTTGGCATGTTGTGTGTAGTATGCTGCCACCGAAAATTGATCGTTTTGGGGAAGAGTATGTAACAGCCCTTTCCGACGCAGAATATTAATATACTCATATCATAAAGATGTGTTTATAATGGGAATTTGGAATTTTAAAAACGAAGATATATCTTGCACTTAATGAAATTGAAAAATAAAGGAATGTGGATCAACTTAGGACACCAGGACCTTCAAAACATATACCTCAACAAGTTGTACCCCAACCGTTGTAAGAAAAGTGTGGTCTCTTGTAACAGGTGAGAATCCACAAATACAAAGGTCAGTGGGAAAAGTCGTCCACGCACCCTAGGCAACAGTACGTAATGTAATCAAGAAAAGGTCTCCATCTGAAAAAGCAACATAAGTCACTTGC